TCCTCCTCTCCTCCCCCCGCTCACATGCAGCAGCCGCACCCCATGCCGTTCCCGCCGCACCCCGCCTACTTTTACCCGCCCCAATCCGCCGCCCCACCCCCGCCGCAGCCATTCGTCCCCCACCTCACGTATATGGAGGGCCAGTTTGCGGCCCAGGCCCTCCTCGTCGAGCAGCAGCGCCGCATCAAAGCCCTCGAAACGGAGCTCGCCCAAACCCAAATGGAGGTCATACGCCTTCGCGCACAGGTCGCCATGCCGCATCACCACCCCGCGCAAATCCCACACCACATGTCCCCACATGACCCTCATTCCCTTCGCCACCACCCGGCCGTCATGCAACAGCCACACGTATCTCAACCCCTTCATCCACCACAACCGCAACCTCTGGCCCATCCGCCACCCCACCCGCATCACCACACACACCCACCGCAACTGACCCACTCACACCCAGACTATACGTCTCATCCGCTCCCCGTTTCTTCATCCCATCCACGCTCTTCATCTGCTTCGGCACCACTCCCACCATCGCATCCCGTGTCGGCACCGTCGGCCTCACATCGTCGACCCTCTCCTAGTCTTTCGTCCAACCACACCGCCTCTGCACCTGCCCCGCCCGAAGAGCAGAAGAAGACTAGTTCACGCTACTGGACCGCAGAAGAGCACGCCCGTTTTCTAGAGGGCCTGCAGCTTTTCGGACAAAAGGACATAAAGGGTATTTCGCGCCACGTCGGCACCAGATCCGCCACCCAAGTGAGGACGCATGCACAAAAGTATTATCTTCGCATCGAGCGAGAGAGGCAAAAGGCGGAACAAGAGGGGAGCACCCCTGCGTCTGCGCCGGACCTCGTGCCGAATGGAGCCGGCAAGGCTGTGAACGGCGCACACGCAGCGGGCCCTCGCAATTCCACCTCTGGTGCCGCCAGTGGCAAAGGGAGCACGTCTGAAGGGAAGGGGAAACGTTCCCGTTCATCTAACCGTGATAATGCAGGTCCGAAACACGCTGCACCGACAAAGAACAGCGAAGGCGGGAGCAAAGCAAAGATCACAGTACCTAGGGGCGATGGCAAGCTCGAGCCTACGAAAGCAGATTCTAAGGGCGGCAACGGTGTGATTGCGCGCAAGGACAGCTGTGGAAAGCCATTAGAGCGGAAAAGCGGTGCCAATGGAACAATTAGCAAGTCAACGGTCCGTGCGAAGAAGGAGAGTGTCGTGTCTGGGCCTATACATGACGTAGTGAATGGAACCATCAAGCCGGAACAAGCGAATACCCAAAACGCATCACACCAACCAGATGAGAATATCCCAGACCAATTGGAAGATACTCTTGGTCCCTCTCAGGACGCGGTCGTAAACCCCGAAGTCATTGCGCATATCGCCATGCCTCTTTCAACAGGTGTGGCGTATCAGCCCCCACGTTTACCATCAGGAGCCGCTACGGACGCGAACCAAATACCTCAGAGAATCAATCAGTCAGACATGGAGACAATCCCATCCTCAGCGCAGAGCTACGTAGATGGGATGTCTCATTCAAAGAATGCACGTGATGACATTGCATCAGCAGGCCAAAACAGCAAGATGCAAGTTCTCGGCGGGACCTCCCACGGTTTGCCGCCACCAGGTCCAAACCTTGGTGCCAATATTCAACGGAGGGGAACTTTGGATCCTTCTCCTTTACGGCCAACGGAGCAGGTGAGGGAAGAAAGTGGAGTCGTTAGTGAACATATTAAGGAGTTCGGGAAGAGAGGAGGCCCACCATTGTCGAAGCGGAGTCCAAAGAAGCGATTGAAAAGACCGCCAACTTTAGAACCGCTTCCGGGAGACGTTGCCTCATCTACTGCCTTCGCAACAGGCACAAATGCTCTTCCCATAGTGTCCAAGGCATCGGCCTCTAGTGCGTCGGGTGCACAAACAAAAGCCGAACAAAAAATGTACAGTTTAGGAGAGGCTGGCAGCATGTCAAATTTGAGAGCGCTGCTACGGGTGCCGGGTGAGGATCAAGCAGCAGGACCGAGTGGTTCAAAGCCACCGACTCTGAAACGAAACGAGAGTTCGAACTCGGTACTAGCTGACTTATCGAGAAGTGTAGGGGTTTTATCCCGATCGAACTCATTCATATCTCCCAGTGGGAAGGGTGTACATAGGTCGAACAGCATTCTGTCGTTGTTGAGTGGATTGCCAACGGCCATGCGAGAGTCTCCCAGTTCAGATAGATTGATGATGATGGAAGGAGAAGACCGAGTGATGGCTACGTTAAAGTCCATGGATACTGGAAGTAGCGGGGCAATCGCGGTGCAAGCCGGACCTTCTACACCAGGTCCTAATCCAATCAGCACAATGGGAGAAAGATCATTCAGCTTCAGCCAGCTGCAGCATATTGGCCTCGATGACTTAGAGGACCCAAATGCTGTAGCGTTGGCTTTGCCAGACGAGCAGAAGTGGGGTGATGGTTGAAGAAAGGGACGGGGAACGAGTCTTTTGTTCACGAACATCCTCTTTTTGTGATAGAATGTGTGCCATTGTTTTGTGAAACGAGTCAGTTTTTCATCACTGTATAAAGCGAAAAGCTGCGTTCCAACAAGTCGTCTGGGCTGCCAAGTCCTTGTGCGAATGGATTATTTACATTTGTTATATACACTAGTTGCCGAGGCGCGCATCGTCGTCAGTTCATCCAACCCTTGCACTGGTCTGCACCGCATGCGCACTTCACGCGATCCGAATCATCGAATGGAAACTGATAGTCGTATGACAGTTCTTCTCCTCTCTGGATGGTCCGCTTGGCAAAAATTACAACGACCTTCTGGTCGTTCTCCGTAGTTATTGTCTTTGAGAAACAATTGGGGGCACAACTGTGGTTAATGTACCGAGCAGCATTGCCACGCATCGTCGCGTCCACAATGACTCCCGTTTCTATCTCAAACATATAGCATCCGATGCCCCGATCCAAGTATTTCGCTTCCCGTACATCTGAAAGAACGGGCCTTATGATTTCTCCGACATATTCGATCACCATTTCTCCAGCTGGAATGTCCTTTGTGGCGAACACGCCACACCCCTCAATATCGGACCTCAACACTACGGTTCGACTCCTTGAAGTGGAAGCGATGCATCGATGTTGTGTTGCATACGGCAGGGAGGGTGTAGACTTGTTCGCACGTGAACGGTCCGCCGCGTCAATTGATTTCGACATAAGATTCGTTGTAGTTGGATGCAACTTTGGCCTGACAGTGACCGGATTGCCAGGTGCAATGTACTCGTGCTGAGAGAAAACCTCCCTGGCAACAGACAGCTGAAATGCTGACCCTGTCCGAGCATTCTTGAATGTGGGTATCGCAACCGATGACGGTGACGGTACTCGATTGGCGTACCGCAAAGGGAGGTATCCCTCAGACTTCGCGCAGCCGGTGATGTTCTTTCGAATCTCCACAGGCACAAATTTTCTCGCCAGAGAATTGTAGAAAACTATTTCGTTACTTCGATGGGTCGCAACTCGTTTCAGACTATATCGGCCCGCAAACATGGATGCCATCGGTAAGGATTCAATGTGCGTCACGACAGGAATACAATGCGCAAGTCCGAATGCCTGGAGACCCGTTGTCTGGAAGGAAAGAACAACAGGGTTGCCGACAATGGTTCTGCGTCGCATTTGCTTCACTCTCTCAGTCACCATGCTCCACGCGGCGTCTGGATCCCTGGACTGAAACTTTAAAGAAATCGAGTCACTGCATCTGATAACAAAAACTGGTCCAGTTTGCGGGTATCCACACACCTCGAAGAAATACAAGCACCGCTTCCCCGGATGAAGCACTGACCAAAACTTTCTGGCCGCACAGTACCCCAGAGGTACGAGGCAACCTTGTACGATAAAATCGTTCACTTCTGGTACAAGGCGTCCAAACTGGAGCACAGAAAGCGATCCTAATCGGATGCTCAAAAGCCGACCCGGTTTTAGAGCCTTTTTCTTCTTTGGCGCTTCCCTGTTTTTCGAAAAGTCTGTGATGTCGAAAATCCTCAGGACTCGTCGGAGATTGATCGTGCTCTGAGCTTCCTGCAGAGAAAACATAGTGTCAAGCTTGGAGCTGTCCGCCAAACGGTGGGATGGACAATATAGCAGTAATTCTTGGATATCCACCATGTTCACCATAGAAGCGAGTGTACGTTGCCGGGAAACAACAGCCCCTGCCGGTTCTGTCCGTGCAATACGCAGGACACAACCGGCCCCTATCTCTTGGGCGCATCTGAAATGGTAACACTCGCTGCATCCGTCCGCTGCACAACGTAAAGTTGCTCCGCGCTTTCCGCAAAACTCGCAAGAGGTTTGTTTGGCGTAGCGCAAGAGCCTTCGCCGTGGTACTAGCAAGTAATCAAATGGCGTTCTCGTTCCCTTCACAGACACGCCGACAGACCAAATAGCGCAGCCAATATGCACCCAGCAATGAGATTCGTTGCAGTCGGTTCCACTTGCCCATGGCATAAGTCGGCCCTCCATTCCGCGACATCTCTCGCCCTCACCGCAGAGTTCACAGCAGCGATTGTCTGCCCAATCAAGGACATCATCGTCCTCAATTGACGAATCGTCCGGGGTCCCGTCCCTTTCTCGACTACTGTCCAAGTGCCCATTCCCATTGCAAGTCATTGGGATGGACGTATCAAGGCCCACAGCATTTCCGTTGGCTAGGGCTTGAGATGCCAAACACGTTGCGTCCCTCATGACCTCTATCGGATCACATGGCACACTATTCATGCTCTCACATTGCAAACACCGCCATGGACGTCCTTTGACAGCCAAACCCGTCACCCCATTGCGCTTCACTCCGCAAGACTTCGAAAAAGGACTTGCGGCGCCAGACCCGTGGCAAAAGTCGTGATAGCACTCTCCGCAATCCGTACAAAATAAAAGCGTCTCTTCTCGCCCACCCGAGCCGCACAGGCGACACATTTCAACATCTGGAGAAAGACTAGTGAGCGTCTGGGAGAAATTTTCTGCGCTGGCCGACACCTTCCTGATAGACTGGAAAACGATTTCGCGTTCAACCGGAAGCAGCTCCGCATCTGGATATAGATCAACTGCCCCCCGACCTGTCTTCGAGTTGGTGCCATGTACGCGGTAGCGACGTCTCGCATTTTGGGCTTGCTTAGTATTGTGATCCCTCTTCTTCTTCTCTGTAGTGCAAATGGGACAACGATACTTGGCGTCTGAGCCCTGCAGTTTCTTGAACTTGTCTTTTGTCATCCCCGCGCAACCCAATGCATGTAGCCACTCATCGCAATAGTCGCACTGGACCATGGGAATGTTCTCTCCCTCCCGGTAAACCTTATGACAAATGGGACACACGACTCCCCCATTCTTGATCTCCTTTGCACAGGCACTACAGGCCTCCAGGGCCTCATGCCACTCGCCGCGGGGAATATCCACAATCGAGCAATGCTTGCAAGTAAGACACAAGTCGCAGCGCCACGCATGCGGGTCGCACCCAGGCGGCAAGCAGGTAATATGAATCGCAAAATGGCCACATCCCAAGCACTTGACGGTATCACACTCCGACTCTGTGGCATCCACTTGCATGCCATCAAACGCCTCATGTTCGACGGGACTTGTGGCCGTATCGCTGCTACTGTTATACACATCCTTATCAATGGCCATTTGGCAGCTGACACACTTCATACAAGCCGTACACAAAAACTTGCCCTGCCATGACAGCGCTGAAAAGCCGGCATCCGTTTCCATCTCTGGCCATCTACACCGGGTATGCATCCTCATCTGACACGACGAGCAGGTCAAAATAGCTCCCAGTCTGGTATCGTAACTATCTCCCTCACACAGCGAGCAACCACTGCCCCTCCCAATAAGCTTTTCATCAATTGGAGTCCTCTCATGATACAGTTCTATTCTCGGCGGGAGCATCTCCCCTCCCAACTCCTCATTCTTATTCGCATGCCTCGGGCAATAGGTCTTAAACCCGGCGATCAACGAGGCCCCCCCAATGAGCGAACAGCGAAAATGCATCGGGCGACAACAAGCCGTGTTCATGTACATGCACGCCAACGAGGGGTTTCCACCGCCACAAAAGACGCACTTGAACCTCTTTGCTCTCGCCAGGGCGGCGTGGACGCCCATGAGAGTCTTTGCAGCACGCGGCGGCTGCCACACCTCGGGCGACCATAGCGCGCAGTTGCGATGGGCATACAAGGACTTGCCGGCCTTTCCACGGATCGGGCCGACCAGGGCGCCCTCGCACTCGCGCTGCGAGCCGGCTATGGAGCAGAAGGCGCAGACGCGGGCGGCGGGGGGAGCGGGCGGGAAGTAATCAGCGGGACGCTTCTTTCGCTTGCGGTCCGGGCGGGTGTCCAGCACGGCGTCCGTGGCGGTAATGCGCGGGCGCTTGGCGCGCACGGGGTTGCGCGCGGTGA